ACTGATTTTTGAAGTTATGTGCATCAAACGCCAAACCATATGACATTTTAGAAGGCCAAATGTCAACGCTTTAAAACCGCAAAAGGGCGGGAAAATATATAAAATTTAAATTATTATTTCGGTTGTATGAAATCTAAAGCTCAGAACTTTTTTGTACACCTAATATATAGCAAAATTTGCTATAGTTTGATTTGCTATAATCTGATTTGATTTGCTATATCCTGAAAATATACAACAAATGATATTCTACACAGATTTTATACAAATAATCTTAGTATTCGGTGTGATCACAGTACGTTCAGTATAAATACAGAATATTCGTATGATATCATGTGCTGTTAGAGAATTATGTAAAGTTTAAAAGCGTAGCCGCCGTTTCAAAAAATATTACAAGAAATACGTTTATTAGTAGGTAAACAAGGGGGGCATCATATCCCCGGGGCGGAGAGGGGGGGTGAAGAGAAGGGGGTCATAGGATTCCCGGGGGGTTCGCATCCGAGGGAGGTGCGGGAATAATTTTTTTCCCCCTGACGGTTGCGGGAGAAATTTTTTTCTACTCGGTCAGTAAGGATTTACCCCTTTGGCGGTCGAGGGGTGGTTTCTCCCTGGCGGTCGTTGGTCTGGTGGTCGTGGACCTGGCGATCGAGGGATGGTTTCTCCCTGACGGTTGTGGGTCTGGCGGTCGTGGGCCTGGCGATCGGAGATGATATTTTTCCCCTTTTTAGAAGACGTTTTTCTTCGGCGGGGTCCGGCAAGGAGATGTTGCGCGTCCTGTTTTTTAAGATGCCGCGCGTTCTGTTTTTTAGGATGTCGCGGTTAGACGTCTTTTACGAGGCTGGAAAGCATGCCATCTTTTCGGGAAGATGCCGCAATTTGGCGCGTCTTCGACGTTGCCTTAGAATATATATATATTTAACTAAGGGTATCGACGACGTATCGTTAGTTTGCGAGATGGAGAATCAGTCTAAAGTTCCGAAGAGTCAATTGAAGGATCCGGAGATAATAACGCTCTTAGACGAAACGTTCGAGTTCTCGAGAGAGATGGAACGCGAAGTAATGGAACAGGAGAAACGCGCGATGACGATGGAACGGGAGAGACGACCGACGATCAAGCGAGAAGAGAAAGAAGACGCGATATCGGCAGAAGCCGAGAGCGACGCGATCGATTCGTTCGAGTTGATACGCGCGATGTGGACGTCTACGCATTCGATGATGTGTAATTTGCGGCTGATGATGGCGTTTCTGTCTAGACATCTGGCGCTTCGTCGAGGAACGGAGCCGATCGCGCGTATACGCGAGGCCGAACGTATGAGAAACGCTATACGTATCGTCACCGACGTATGGAGTCGGAAAGGCCCGTTGAACTTGTACTGTTCGGGGGAGAGCGGGTGGTTCGCTTCGAGAATTCCGTGCCGGACGAGCGCGCATCGCTTACGGAGATCGAGATAGCGAAGGAGGCTTCCTTGAGGTGGATACGAGAGTACGGGTGGTGCGTCTGAATACGGCGAGGAGGAATCTTGACGATGAGTACGGGGAGTATCTGGCGCGTCTGGATACGGCGAGGGGGAAGAATCTTGACAACGAGATTTGTGGCAGCGGTTTAGACGCGTTGTTCGCATCATTGTCTGAAGACAAGGAAGAGACTGATCGATTCGTTCAGTACATGACGAAGTTGGAGGGTGGACGACAGCTCGAGGCGAGATCTCCGGGCGAGAAGGGAACCGATTGCGAGTTGGTTCGATTGTACGTGTACAACGTCAAGGATATAATTAAGAAGAAGAAGCGCAACTAGTGGAAACACGCGAAATTGAGAATTCAATTTTTGAACTCCGCGTCGGATCGGAAGAAGGAATTGGTGCGACGGTTAATAGATCGGGCCGCCGATGATCTGAGGAGAGTGCGCGGGGAAGTGAGAAGCATCGAGTGCGAGCGACAGCGAGTAGGGATGTATTGCTATGACGCAAAGGCTCATGCAAATTATCGCGAGAGAGATCGATTGTAATATAGTGTGCGAATTTGCACAAGTATATGACTATGTATAAGACTATAAATATATGTATACGAATATGAATATATAAATACATATGTATAAGTATATGTATATGAATATGAATATATAAATATATATGTATAAGAATATGTATACGAATATGAATATATAAATATATATGTATAAATATATGCATAAGTATATAAAAAATACGTATAAGTATATGTATATATTGAATAATAAAAAAATGAATATATGTACGAGATATGCTAAAATAAAAAAATGTGAATCGCCATTAATACGCATCATTGTTACAGCGATTAACTAACCGCGAAAGGCGGAGTTCCCTTTCCCTTCCTCGTTCGTTTATATATCGTAGAAACGAGAGGCGAGTCAGCGAGTGCCGGAAGTTTTCAATTTGCGATACTGAGGGCGATGTTATCGGGAATGTATGAAAGACGACAGGTAGGAGTTGCGCGAGGAAAAAATCGTTTTAGGAGTGTTAATAATGAGAGAATATTTTATTAGGAATGTAAAAAGAGGAAAGAGGTAAAAAGAGTGACACTTCACGAGGAAAAAAAGGGACTTTCGTGACGCGTCTTTTCGCGCTCGCTACGAGCGGTTACCGGAAATCTGACCGCAAACGGCGATTCGTTTATCGTTTAACGGAAGATCATTTTATTAGAAATGTAAAAAGGAGGAAAAGGAGGAATGTAAAAAAGTGACGCTTTACGAGAAAAAAAAGGGACGTTCGGATGATTTCGCAAAAGTGACGTTTCACGAGGAAAAAAAGGGACGTTCAGATTTCGCGTTCATTACAAGCGGTTACCGGAAATCCGACCGCAATGGCGATAGGAGATTCGTCTATCGTTTATTATTTTTTCTATTCTATCGCTTCTATTTTATCGAGATCATCATTCGTTGGTTTTTTAATCACGCGACGAGAGATCTTATTGTTTTTCGGGATTGCTTGATGAGAGTGATCTCGCTATCGCGTACGTTTCTTGTATTCGATGATTTATTGTCGATTCAAAGGAATGAGGAAAAAAAATCTTTAAAATGTATAATATAAAATATGTATAATATAAACGAATAATAAAGTGTACAGTATAATATATAAACTAATATAAACATACGGTATAATATATAAAGTAATATAAACATACGGTATAATATATAAAGTATAAAATAAAGTATAAGTAACAAAAATGTCGATTTCTACGAAGAGCTATTTTTCGCGGGCTCTTCCTAAGAAAAAAATTTGAACGTCATCGCGCTCCTTTGCGAACATGTCGCTACATGTTTGATTGCAACAATGAAATTCCTAGAAAAAAGGGGGGAGTAGGGAAGGTAGGGGGAGGGGGATTAACGGTTTGCCATCAAAAATTTAC